GAGGACTCTGGGGGAGGAGTGTTCTAAGCAGAGGGAACAGCCAGTGCAAAGGCCCTGAGGTGGGAGTGTATGCAGGAAGTTGGAGAAACAATGTGGCTGAGACAGAGCAACAAGGGGGAGCGTGGTAGGACATGACGTCAGAGAGACAACAGGGGACAGATCATGTGGAGCCTGTGGGCCATGGGCGGACTGTGGTTTGATTCTGAGTGAGAAGGGGCCACTGGAGAGCTCTGACGGGAGAAGGAGGAGACCTGACCCCGGTGTCCACAAGTTCCCTCTGGCAGCGTGTGGAGAATGGACTGTAGTGACTGCGGGGGCAGAGTGGAGGCAGGGAGCCCAGAGAGGAGGCAGCTGTGAGTTCTGGCAGGGAGGATGGTAGACAGGCCCAGGGCCAGGGCAGAGGAGGAGTGAGAAGGGGGCGAGCTCTGGAATATTCTGAAAGCAGAGTGGACAAGGTCTGTTGGCTGAGTAGATATGGGTGTGGAAGGTTAAACCTTAAGCTGTTTCCCTTGAGCAGAACAAATAGAAGTTGATTCATGTCCTCTTCCTCATCCTTCACTTCGTTGACCATATGCTGGTTATGTGTACAGTTAAGAGCAGCAGACTGGGTTCTCATCTAGGTTCACACCTGTGTGGCCCTGGGTAAATTACTTAGCCTCTCTGTGCCTCGACTGCCTCATCTGTAAAATGGGAACAGTAATAATAGCACCTACCTGGTAGAATTATAGTTAAATTAGTTAATATGGTGAAACAGTCAGAATAGTGCCTGGCTTCATTTAATCAAGTCCACCCAAAGGTGCCTCAGAAGAAAGGTCTGGTAATGTACTTCTGAAAAATCAGCCACGGAAAACCCTTTGCGGCACAGTTCTACTCTGACACGTGGGGTTGCCATGAGTCAGAGTTGACTCCATGGCAACTGGTTTGATTTTGGGGGTCATTTAAAATCTTCAAAATGATTTTTTAAAATACACAAATTGTCTTTTTCCAGGGAATGTGGGGCTGCTTGTGGCTCCAGGAGGGGGGACGCCCTCCCATGGCAAAGGACCATGGTGACTTCAGGCACGTGTGGCGGCCTGGGGGAGAGACAAGGTGACAAAGGTCACTCTGGCTAGGCCAGGCTAGGGCATCGGAGGTCGTGACTGCTAGGGGGGTGGGCGTGTCAGGGGCAGGGCCTGAGCGCCAGGGATCACTCTGACGGGCCCCCTCGCCCCCAGCCCCAGGACCTGCGGAGCTACGTGTTTCAGGGCTCCGTGCGGGGCTGCCCAGCTCTGGAGGGTTCCGTGGGCCTCAGCAACAGCGTGTCCCGCTGGGTGCAGGTAATGGTGCTGAGCCGGCCCGGGCCCGCGCAGCGCGCGCAGGTCCTGGACAAGTTCATCCACGTGGCACAGGTGAGGCACCCTCTGCTCGCTTTCCTGGCAGCCATCCCGCGGGGTTCCAAGCGCCACCGCGCGCAGTTCCCTAGCGCTCCGCGTTCCATCCTCGCCCCGGCACCCAGCCCTCGGCCCGGCAGACCAGGCTGGGCGGTGACGTCACCCACATACGGCCCCGCCCCCTCGCAGCTCGCCGCACCCCGGTCCCGCCCCCGAGGCCCCAGTCCCCGCGTTCCGTCCCAGGACTGACGGCGCTTCTTGCTTGGCCTGGTTATCACTGCGTCAGGTCCACGCGGGCCCCGCCCCTTGGCCCTGGCCTTTGCAGTGGACGTCGTCCCTCCTGGCCCCATCTCCCCTCCCTCCCAAGCCTTACGTCCGAAGGTTCTATCCCCAGGACAGTGACAGCGACCCTCCACCTTTGCATCGTCCTCCACCGAGGCTCTGATTCCCAGTTCCTAGGCCCTGGCGGTCCCTCCGGGACAGTGACCACCTTCCTCCCCATCCCGTCATGTCCCTCCCTGGTTCCTACCCGTTGAGTCACGCGCTCCTCCCTTCCGGATACCTTCCCTCCCTTCTGGGGAAAAGGGAAGCCCTCCTTCCCCTACCTTGGTCACGCCCTTGCGCGTATTTCCTCGCAGACCACGCCCTTCCTTTGGTCTCCAGCCTCGCTTCCTTCTGCTGGGCCTTTAGTCCTGGGGGTTCTGGTGGCTGCCTGGGTCTCCTAGGTCTGAGCACCTTCCACTCTCCCCTGGCCTCGCTGTCTCCCCACAGCGACCTCCTCCCTTTAAACTTGGGGCGAGCGAGGCTCTGGTTCTCCACTCCTGCCAGAGCCCACACCTTGTTTCTCCTCACCTGTCTGACTCGCACGGCAGTCGGACCCCCCGAATGCCTGTCTGACACCCTGACTGAACCCCCACATACACTTGAATGATACACAGCTATCTAGACCCCACACCTCAGTACCCGTGCTTGCCTGTCTCCCCACACTTTCCTGGCCTCACCTGGCCTACCTGCTGTGGCCCCCTCCTGCTCGCCACGCCCACTTTCTCTCGCTTGTGGGGTGGCTGCCCTGGTCCACGCTGCACATATGCCTGTGCCCCGCCTCTCTACAGGGATGCGCTTGTTGGAGTCCCGACCCCTTCTCTTTTCAGAGGCTCCACCAGCTGCAGAATTTCAACACGCTGATGGCCGTCACCGGGGGCCTGTGTCATAGTGCCATCTCCAGACTCAAGGACTCCCATGCCCACCTGAGCCCTGACAGCACCAAGGTGAACCCTCACTGCCCTCCCCAAACTTCCAGGGGGTCAGCTGTCTCACACCCCCATATTTAAATTCCCCGGCCCCCTCGAGCCCTGCTTAGGGACTCCGGAACCACCCAAATACTGTGCTCTCCCAAATCCCACAGACCCCCCGGCTCTGTCTGCATTCTTCCCCCAGCCACTGTGCTGAGCCCTCTACCTTCTGTGTCTGGTCCTGAGAAGGGTTGTGAGGGAGACAGGAATGACAAAGATGCTAGCAGAAAACCTGCAGCCCGGGTGGGGAGTAAAAGCACCCACCCAAAGACTTCAACATCCCGGCCACCCAAAAGAGGGACACGGATTGGGGATGTCCTGGGAAGTGCCTGGGAAAAGTGTGTCACCCATGAGTCTGCTGTGTGGCGGGAGTCAGGAAGTGGCAGGAAGCAGAGTCAGGAAGAGGGCAAGATCCTGGTGGGCCTTACAAGCTCAGCTAAGGTGTTTGGGCTTTATCCAGAGGGCAACGGGGAGCTAGAGCAGGTTTGGGATTGAAGGTAGCACCCATGATCAGATCTGAGTTTTTGAAAAATTGTTCTGGTGTGTGGCGTAGAGAGTGAATTGAAGGTGGAAGACAGGCAGCCAGGAGACCCGAGATGGCTCAGCACCCAGTAAGCCATGGTGTGCAGTTTGTTCTCTGTCCGCAGGGCCCTGAGGAGGCATGGAAGTGTTTTTGAGCTAAGGAAGAATGCGATCAGATTTTTTGTGTTAGGAAAATCACTCTAGCTGGCATGTGGAGAGTGGATTGAAGAGGGTACCACTGAGGGCTCCGACCCCAGGCGGGAGGCTGGAGCAGGGACTGAGCAGAAGACAGGGAGGGGCTCAGGGGAGCGGAGGAGAGGGCAGGCAGGAGGCTGCCCTGAGACTTCACCGGGACTGATGAGCTGGGGTGTGTGTGTGTGTGTGTGTGTGTGTGTGTGTGTGTGTGTGTGTGTGTGTGTGTGTGTGTGTG